TAGCCAAAGTGTAGGACCCTACACATGTTGCAGAGCACTTCTTTCTTGTCATGAAATTCAGATATTTTCAGTATACAGTTGATATTTTCCTCAGTAGTTGAGAGCTAAATATATATATATATATAAATACTCAAACACATATGTATATACAAATTTTTAAAACCTAAAAAACAGTCCTTTTCTTACATAGTGTCTCTCAATTTTAAAGCAAGAGTACATATTTCCTCACAGGATATATAAGGTATACACTGCAAAGTGGGCCAAAGGAGCAGGAATTCTATATTACAAATAGTAAAGCTTTAAAAATATCAACAAAGCAGAACATTCTAACATAACAAATGAAGAGCTCTGCATTAAAAAAAGACTTCATTATTTCAGTATCTCTTTGTTTGCTTGTTTAATCATCCCCTGGGACAATCTGTACTGTTAAGAAACGTGTAGAAAACAGTCATCAGTTTTTGTTGTTGTTCAATTAGTGCTATACTCAGTGTTTGAGCTCATGCAAGTGTCCTTTGGGGAAACGTCCTGCGTGCCATTAGCACTATTCTTAATGAGGGAAAGCACGAAACTCCTTTAGTGCTCTGCCAGAATTGTTTTATCTTCAAGTCAAAAGAACAACTGCTTGGAGTAACCCCAAAAAAAGCATTTAACAATTACAAGTGGCAAACAATATTCCCAAGCATAATACTCATAGCATTCTTCTATTTATAGGCTAACAGTTATTATACAGGATAAAATACATATTAGGCAGCTTTATTATGCAGACAGTCATGATTTCTGAGTTAAAGCTGCTACAGTGGTTTCCATTATAAGCCCAATTTTGAACCCTTTTACTCCTTCTGTGAGAGGTAGGGCGGGGAACAGGAGGATGTTTCATGTTTGGTTTCAAGACAAAGGAGAATATTTTTAGGAAGTTTGAGGTTAATTAGACACGTTGCTTTTGAGATATGGGACATAAGCATTTCTTTATTCTTTTTGGAAGAAAAAAGCAGTTTAATGGCAATGTTTTTGTTCATAAAAAGCTTTTTAACTAGTTCTCCAGAATACAAAATCAGAGTTGAAAACTAGGTTAAAGGAAGGTCAAGACTTACAGCCCTAGGAAATATATAAAGACAAAGATCTAGCACTTTTCTTAGCTACATTTATTTTCAAAAAGATATGCAAGCTCTTTCCACTGAAAAAAAAAAAAAAGCAAAGCAACAATTAAAGAACACTAGTTTTAAAACCAAAACTAAAAGCAACATTCTTAACTCTTATCACTTTTCACATCCCAATTATAGTTCTTCATAAACAGTGGTGGGCAGGTGGAATAAAGCATTCCCTCTCCCAGCTGCTCTTCATCTTACTGTCCCTTCATTCTTCCTGTTCCTAGGTTTTCTATCTCAGCTTCATAATCCTGACATCAAGCATCTTCACATCTCTGACACTTCCTTGATCCCAGCTTCAGCACAATCAAGATCGACACGTCTTGAAGCCTGCATATTCCCTTTTTTGCCATCAGAATGACTAACTGGAGAGCAGAGGATTTAACGAAGGTAAGAGTAAAGGTCTGGCTGAAAGTTAGCATTTTATCTTTGTTATGCACACAAACTCATTTACACAATGCCTAAAAGCATTCCCTGTCCTCCCAGTGACACACAGGTATATTCTAACACTCCCTTACTAAACATGCACTATGGGCAATAGCTGGCACAAACTTTCCTTGCAGAAGAGCATAGGTAGAAGAGCTAGAACGTAAGTAGATCATGTGGATGATGTACCGAAATAGAATGAAGGCAACTTATTTCAGTTGGATTTTATAAGCAGTCTTCTTAATGAGGCACAAATACCTAATTACAGAAACAACAGGAAGATCTTAGGGCCAAGTATTATACAACTGATGGAAGTGCACAGATTTGCCATTTATCTCAACTGAAGAGAGGCAAAAAGTAAAAGTACAGCCATTTCCAGGGGGCTGTGTATTTCTATCCTTTAGTTGTGTCCAAAAAAAACTGCAAAGTTCAGGTATTTGAGAGATTCCACACCTGACTTCTGGAAAGACAGACAGCAGAGTCTACTCCTTCTCTCCCTTATGTAGCACACTAATACCTTCTTGCCTTCCTTTCTTTTTACCTCAAGGGTCAGTAAGATTCATTCTCTTAAGTCTTCTTAAGAGTGTAGTAAGAAAATTCTTTAATTCTATGACAATCTCACCCCAAGTCCCGTGTAAGCATTAAGGATGTGCTACCATACATGCAACTGTGCACAGTTCTGGGTCTCACTATTTAAAAAGGATGTGAAGGTCCCTGAAGGCATCCAGAGGAGAGCAACAATGCTGGTGAAATCATTGGAAGGAAAGTCCTATAAGGAGCAGTTAAGGATTTTGGGCTTGTGCAGTTTGAAAAGGACAAGGCTGAGGAACAACTTCATTGCTCCTGACAGGCTCCTGAGGAGGGGAAGTGGAGAAGGTGGTGCTGATCTCCTGTGCCATCCAGTGACAGGATATGTGGGAATGGCTCTAAGCTGCATCAGGCAGGAGTATTTCTTTTGAAAAGGTGGTCAAACACAGGAACAGGCTTCCTAGAGAGGTGGTTGATGCCCCAAGGCTGTCAGTGTTTAGAGGAAGCATGTGGACAATGCTCTTAACAACTTTTTTGACTTTTGGTCAGCCCTGAAGTGGTCAGGCAATGCCACTGGATGATTACTGTAGGTTCTTTCTATCTGAATTTGCCTATTTTGTTCTAAAAGGTTTGCAGCTGTGGAGGTATTGAGTCATCATACACATGCATCAGGTCTCTAACTTCCTCTGCTAACTACTTCTACTACTAACCTCCCCTAGAGTAACTCATCCTGCTCTAAAATGGACAAATAAATCTTAGTCATTTTAAGAGGCTGAGATTTCCAACACCAGAAAAAAACGATTAAAAATTCTGAATTATTCCTGACATAATATTTTAAGTTGTTTTCTAAACAGTTTATTCAGGTCTATTCTGTTATTAATGAGTACCTTTATGCACGTCAGAAATAAATCATGAAGGAAAATGAGTGTAGCTGACAGTGTCTATTTACCAAATACAAAAAGCAAAGCTGAGCAGTACTTTTCTTTCATTAACTTCTTTATTTTCAGATTGCTGCGGCTAGCTTAAATTCAGGTACCTTTCACGTTAGAAAGAAATTTAACTTCTGATTTCTGAAAAAATGTATTTTTAAAGAAACAAAAACACTAATTTTTTTTTTTTTTTACTAAGAGGAGAGAATCTGGATATAGAAAATTAGCATCAGGTTTGCTCACTTGTTTTATAGGAACATGGGTACACACAGAAGTTATTGTGCAGTAACTTTCCATATGTCGGCTATGTAAGTATACTCTCTTATGTGTGAGATGAGTCAATCTAATTCCAGGTCAACTGCTTCTCAGTAGAACTAGAGGCAGGTAAGCCTCTTTGAATTTACTGCCACAAAGATACATTTGAAACAAAACAGAGACAGTTCAGGTGAGGCAGCTGGTGCAGCGTTAGTGGTTACCCTGTGAGAATCTGACTCACATGGCATGGCTGGTGGCTTGCACCACGCAGTCTCACAAAGACCCAGGAGGCAGCAGACCTCAAACATTGCTGCTCTATACACAGAGTCATATGACTCACATGGGACTACAAACTTCAGGGGTTATTCAAACAAACTTTACAGGTCACAATGAAGCTTTTGAAAACTTTTGTTCATAAAACTGAATGCAAGAATTCTCAGCTTTTATAAGCAGTAGTTAAAATGAAAATCAAAAGATATTTTTAATGTGTTAAGATACTCATAATACACTTTGAATAGTACTGTTCACAGTTTAAGTTCATCTGTAGTGTCAGAATTTTGAATTATCTCTTTCACTTTGAATTATCTCTTGTGTTACTACAGTACTTGGCTATAAATAGCAGCAAGACACATACAGATTAAGTGGCTCTAAGAAAAACTATTTATATCTAATTTGAGCAACCCAATGCATCACAGGTAAGAGGACTGTGGAACTAATCAGAGCCATTGAAGATTACCAGGGCACACTCTTTCCAGTTCCAAATTGCTAAACTGAGACTCAAGACCTGTGTCACTCTTACACCAACGTTTGTGTAAGACATGAGCACAAGTTACCTTGAGCATTGTTTGTCTTGTAAATTACAGACATGTATTGCTGCTGGTTTATCAAATCAATCTTATGGATTTTTAAACAATTAAGTAATTCAGGGCAAATCCTCAGCTCTCATCAGATGAAGAAGTTTTGCCTAAACAAGGAAAGATATACACAATTCCAAATTGTTTAAAATGAGATTGATAAACACAAGACACTGACCCAATACCATGACTAAAATGCCAAAGAAGCAGTTACATATTTTATTCATGTGTTCCATAACCAAGGCATATCAATTTTAGGCAATTTAGGTTCAGATTGTCAGCAAGGAGTCAGCAAAGAAATATGGTTTGACAGCAAGAGTCATGAACGAACTGGGATTTAATATCTCAAGAATGCTGGCAAAGACTGCCGTTTACAGAGAGGAGCGGAAAAAGGTGCGACTGAAACACACAAACTGGTTTAATGCTTGTAATCAGGACCCAAAATCACTTTATCACTGAAAATGGATAATTTCACAATACAGTTGTGCCCACTCTCCTCTTAGAAACTGTAACCCTTCAAGAGGGGCAAATGAGTGTGCTATATATATTCCTCTCAGTCAGAGAAGAACAGCCAGTACATTTGTAAGAAATATTCCCAACTTCAGTTCAGGGCAGGGTCTAAATTGTTCCAGTTGTAGACTCCCATTCACATCTTTCTTTAAACTGCAATGAAACTGTAGGCCAATAGCTTCTCTAATACCAGAGGTAACTTTGCTAGTAATAAAGATCAACCTGAGTCCTGATTTATGACCATGGAAATGTAACAAATTCAGACCTGCAGTATAAAGAGGAAGTATTGCTACATAAAGAAAAAATAAGCTTAGTTTAAAACTGCACACTATTCCTCGTTTTAAATTATTTACCTGGAGATATAGCTCTGTGGAACTGATACATGTCTTCTCCAGTCAGTTCTTGTGCAACCTGCTTGATCTTCTGTCGGACAGCATCTAGCTTGCCTTCAGATTCCCTTAGAATTTCTTCCCCATTGGGAGCACTGCAATCATAAAACAGAAAGAACAGTTTCCAGCACAAACAAACAGTTAAAAAACATTATACTATTTCTTTTACTAATCAATACATTGTTGCTGGCTTCAAGAAAAAGCAAAACTGATACTAGAATAAGAAACAATTTAACTTTCACAGATACCTATTGCAGATTCTGAAATTCTGTAGATTCTTACCAAGAAAATAATCACCTAGTCAGGGTTCTGGTACCAGAATGCTTATTCCAAACTACAGTCATGATTATTGTTTAAGTAAGAAAAAGAAGAAACGCATACAAAGGCTTCAAAAAATATTCCAGAAAACTAGCAGTATTTACAGAAGTCCTTTAACTTCTTTAAAAAAATTAATATTTTGCAATACTTGACAGTATTGCAAAATATAATACATTATGTACTTCTACATGTGATTTTTTTTTTTTAAGGAAGTAGTTATGGACTATGCTGTTCAGGAACAGCTGAAATATCTGATTCACAACCACAACATATACTAGGCATTTAATGCTTAGTTTATCTAATTTCCTTTAAACTTACTCCTCCCTTGAGCCCAAATAATCCACATGGTATATTAGTTTACAGTCTCTTTAAGAACTACTGATTAATTGCGAAAAGCAATGAAGAAGGAAATACAAAATACAGCATGGAAAACTTCCCTTCTCACAAAACCACGAATGCCTTATAAAACAGGAATCTAAATTCAGAGTAATGAGGAGTTCTTTGTTGGTGTTCTTTCCTCCACAAGTTCCTAGCTACCTAGCCCCTGCAGTGGGAGTAGTTATTTACAGTCAAGGCTGTAGAGGTTACTGGAACTATCACAGCACTTTCTTTGCAGAAGAAAACCAAGTTAAAGAGCAGGCAACTTCATAATCTCCATTTATAACTGCAACTATAAATAGTTACTACTTCAACATAAATATATTGATAGGTAACAACATGCAAATTAAGATAAATGAAATTACAAAGAAAAGTAACAGGGAGAGCTGTTTTAATAAGCAGGGCCAGTGTTTGTCATGTACAGCAAACACTTTATACAGAAGGCTATGCAAAGCTTCAAATTTTCCTGTTGCTCTTCTAGTTTGTCTCTGGTTTCCAAAGATTGCTTGAAGGCTCATGAGAATACAACACATATGAAGCTCAAAACTTCACACAGAAACCTACCTAGCTGTAGTATTTACATAAACAGACCCCAGGTCACCTCCTATTTGCATTGATGACCTCGGGTGGGGGTGCAACAACCAAAATGGTGACAGAATTGCCCAAGCAAGTAACCTGAAGAAAGGGTGCATACCCTCTCTCACAGCTTGCTGAAAGCTGGAAGGCTCTCATCTGCTGGTCACTCTGCTGCTTTATGCTGGTTTAATAAACCAATACACCAACTCAGAAACCTGAACCAGCACCTTTTAATTCTCTAACTGGAGTGTGCATTCATTAGCTCACATCCACCCTAGAGGAAGTTAATTAAAATCCTCTCAACAGAACATTGCAGCTGTTACTCACAGACAACACTGCAAGGCAGACTATAGGTTTCTGTGAACATTTTCACACTCAATGTGACTCACCTGGTGAACCTGTGGAGCAGAAATATCGTTCTTTTGCTTTCGATCGTTATATCCCGACTGAGCTTCACGAGCCGTTCGTATTTATCATGCCTGGTGTCAAGCTCCAGCTGAAATGCTGCAGAGTCAATTTTAACAGCAAAACTCAAAGCAGAGGAAGAGCAAAGCACCTGTGCTGCACTAACTCCTTACAGACCCCACCAGCCTTGCCCCTGGGCACCTTTCCCCAAGATGTGCTGTCCCTGCATGGGGCACGGCTGCAGACACCACCTCTGCCTGTCACCTGCCAGAGCTGCAAAATTCATCATTAATGCTACCTGTGTTTAATAAGTCAGGTTTAAGTAGATATCAATCCTGATGACGCCTTAAAGCAGCCTAAACAATTTTTAAGGTATAATATTTTGTTTTGCTAATAAAATCTATTCCACAATAGTGCTGTTCTGGATACAGAGTGAAAATTTCATCCCAATTCACCAAGATAAATCAAAAACTAAAACTCTACAATCATTTGTTAGTAAGATTCACCAGTGTCTAAACCAATCAAATAAAAAGCATTTGGCTAAGGCACATCTACTGTTCAAAATTCACCATTTAGTCATAAGAAAGGTTACATTTCACATCCCAGTAGACTTGGCCAAAAGTTGAGTATTTTAATAACCCTAAGGACTAGAAATACTAAAGAGAAGTGAGATCAATTACTTAAAATAAGATTTCTGACTTGCTGATGTTAGTTCTCTCTAACTACAACAAATACAGAGAAGAGAGGAAGCATATCTGGTTTTGACAGTCAAATACTATGAACATTTCACGAATACCATTAACATTTTATACACCATTATTTTAGTAAATAAATCACTAATAGATGCTTACAAGACATCTAACAAATTTCCTATATATATGTCTGAGGTATTAAAGTCTGTGAAAGAAGATGCAAAAATAAACCAAGAGGTTACATTTTTGAAGGGTCTGACAAGTGAACAACTTCTAAAAAACCATAGCAGCTCACCAGCAAGCGAGGTTTGTATGACACTAGAAAAATACTTCTGTATTTCTCATTGCCTTGGTAAAAACTTGGATCTTCTAATTTTGTTCTGTTCTTCCCAATCTTATTCTGAAACTCTAAATGTTCCTACTGATCTTTTAATTCTTATACATATCTGTTTGATGTGTCTCTTGCAAATATTGAGAGCCAATTCCACCCCTGAATTATTATCAATAAATTTTCCCTCAGATCATAGTGACAGGAACTTGAGGAAGGGTGACTTCCCTTCATAGGATGACGCAGATGACATTTCCAAGGACCATTTATAACTGTCATCTACTGCGAAATTCACTATTCTGAATATCTGCAATATTAGCAACACCCCCTACATTTTTGGGCTAGTTGTGGCTTTTAGACTTTTATATTAGGTTTTATACCCGTGTTTAAAGTTGAAGTGTTTTATATTCTAAAGTAAATCAGACAAATACAATAATATTTAGGCTAACAAGATGCAAAAAAACCCTATTGTATTGTGCTATTGCCTAAAATTGCAAAGGATTAGAACTTGGGGGTTCTCCAAGCTAACACACCAAAACCACACAGTCATTTCCTACACACATTCCACTGTAATGTCTACTTTAGCACTGAAAGTAAAGACTCAGACTCTATTGAAAATTCTGGTGGTGCTAAATCAGACCATTAAAAATGACACTTACTAAACCTTAATCTTACAAATCAAGGTAGCATCCACTCTCTTTATCACTGATCACTGACCTGTCATATTTACAACATACTTAAAAAAAAAAGGTGTAGCTCCTTGGGTTTTGACTAATTAGACCATTCTGTGATACTTAGGATTATTTTAGAAGACAATTTCTCATTACTTTTTTGGGAAACATTGGTGCAAATAGATCAATTCAAGCACATCTTTCTTTCGAGGATTATAAAGAGTAAAATATGTACACCCATTTAAGGCCACACATTAACTAGGCAAACCTGGTTGAGTGTACAGACCAGGAATGAGGGGCTGACAAGGCCTGCCGCAGAAATGGACCTGGAGGTCCTGGTCAGTGGCAAGTTGAGCACGAGCCAGCAGTGCCCTGGTAGCCAGGAGAGCCAACCCTGGCCTGGGGGGCATCAGGCACAGCATCACCAGCTGGGCAAGGGAGGGGATTATTGTCCTGCTCTGCTCTGCACTGGGGTGGCCTCGCCTCAAATATTGTGTGCATGCTTTTTGGGCAAAACAATATAAAAAAGATCCTAAGATCTTAGAGAGCATCCAAAGGAGGGCAAATGAGGATGGTGAAGCGTCTAGAGGGGAAGCTGTACAAGCAGCAGCTAAGGTCACTTAGTCTGTTCAGCCTGGAGAAGAGGAGACAGAGGGTGATGAGGAAAAGAAAGCAGAAGGGCAGGTACCAATCTCTTCACTCTGGTGACAGAACACGAGGAAGCAGCCTGAAGCGGTGTCAGGGGAGATTCAGGTTAGGTATCAGGAAAGATTCTTCACCCAGAGGTGACTGGGCACTGGAACAGAAGTGGTCACAGCAACAATCATTTCTGAGTTCAAGAAATGACTGCACAATACTCTCATGCACATGGTGTGATTCTTGGGATGTCCTGCGCAGGGCCAGGAGTCGGTTCCAACTTAGCATAGACTGGGATTCTACGATTAAGTTGTTTAGATTCAGACAACATACACAGAAATAGTGCACAACTGATTCACCTTACACAACTTGCTCAATTATAAGCCATCTGGAGCATACCTTTTCCTAATGCTTGTGCCTGACATGGAGACAAAGACAACCAGCATCTTTCTCTGGGGCAGTGCACTTAGTGCACTTTGTATTGCACTAAACTCTTCTGCAATAAATACAAAGAGCAGATCTTTGAAAAATTTTGAAGAAACCATGTCCCTTAAATTCTTTCTGAAATTAACCAAACATGGATGAATGGATCTCATGAGAAGGGAGGGAAACAACTGTTTTGAAGTGGAAGTAGTAGCAACTTTATGACAAACTGATATTCATGACAGTGAAAAATTAGAAGTTGAACGTACAGTTGCTCTACTCAATTCAAGAGCAACCATACTCAATATAAATGATAGAGTGGTTTGGTTGAAAGAAGCCTTAAAGATCAGCTAGTCCAAAAGGACACTTTCCACTAGATCAGGTTGCTCAAAGCCCCCTCCAACCTGGCCTTGAACAATTCCAGAGATGGGGCAGCCACAGCTTCTCTAGGCAAAGTTCAGGGGTCATGGTTAATCATCTGCCAAGTTGATTTACAGAGAAAAAATATAAACAGCCATTTTTTAAAAAGACAGGAAGTTATATGACATTGAAGGACATATTAACCATCTAAAGCAGCCAGCCAGCTTATATTTTACCCTTCTTAGCTTCATAAAAAATATGTGGCACTGGGAAAATTTTACAACAAGAGTTAATCTGTTCCCCATCTCAAATCTCCTTCCTTCTTCAGTCAAGGCTTCTCATTTCTGAAGGTCAGCTTTGCTTTGTTAGGAGTTGTCTAATGCGAAATTTAAATTTACTGGAGTTTAAATCTGGTTTGCTGAAAAATCCTATAAAAACAATTTGGCCGAAGGGAAGTTTACATCTGCCTTTTTAAAGACCTTTGAATATATGTTAATATTTAAAAGGCATTCAAAGTGAATAAAGTGACTACATAAAGGTCTCTATTAGTTAGTTGAAGTCTTTTTTTTTTTTTAAGTGCAGGTACAAACAACTACCAACTCTTAAAACAATGCATTAAAACAATTACATTTCCTTAGCTTAGTCATTTGTGCATCACAGCCAAGGTCAGAGCCTCCTAAGTTTTGCAAAGGTCACCATCTCCTCCTGTTGCTCCTGCTAAGCTCTAGAGGTATGGAGTATGAGTTTAGTTTCAAGCTCCTCCCTTGGAGAGAGCTGGTTTATTTCACTGATAACTTCCTAGCAATTTCTACACCACATTTTTAAAATCTGGTTTTCCAAATGCTTACTTACATTTAAAAGATGTCATCAAAGCTGAAGGTGGATTAACATTCTCTTTTTCTTCTCTTCTTTGACCATGTGGAAAATTATCATGCTTTCGTTTTCTGAACCCACCTGATCCTATTAAATAGTAGACATAAAAAAATAAAATTAAGAAATAGTTTTGCCAGAGCAAAAGGAGCACCAGAATGCTGTCTTCAGAGCATTTCTGACTGCAATCAAATTCTACATGACAGAATAATGTAATTGGATGAAATCTTATTATCAACTGATGCCAGCTTCACATTATCATTTATTTCTTCTACCACATTGCTAGTGAAAATTAGAAAAAAAACCCCATTTCAATGGATAAGCATGGCAGGAACCTATGCCTTTTTTTTTTTTTTTTTGTAAGGTCTTTGGGTCTTCACACCCTTTTATGTTTTCTTGCTGTAAGAAGATGGTTGCATGGAAATCTGTGATTTATGTCACAGGTCTTAACATGAGGAAGAAGTAAGGCACAGTTTAAGCAGACTACCCCTACTCAAGTATATAGGTTTAGCTCCTGCAGTGTAGCTTCTTATGCCCCTACATTCTGCCCATTCACCAGTTTTTTATCTGAATGTAGCTGCTCACTTCTACTGATCTGTGTGCCTCTTCCTTAACCCTCCTTTTCAGACCCACACCCAGAACTCATCTCTTTTGGACTATGTTTTACTCCAAATTTACACCTTGTATTGTTTCTTCCTTTTATCCTTCTTTCACCTTGGACTAACTCATCATGTCACCCATGTGTCAACTATTCCTCTCTCTCCCTCTTTTTGGTGACAGCTGGACACTGTTCCTAACAAAGCCAAAAAATTGGTGAACTTGAATACAGGCATACCTTTTGAATTAATTTAGTTTTTTCAATTTCCTTAAAACAAGAACCAAGGGAACACTGGATTTTAAAATGCTTCCGCTTAATTGTTTATTATCCCAAACCAAAACAAGAAGTGGGTGTAGCTACTTTCTTAAAGAGGAAACCAAAAATAATTTTTTCTTTCTTTTATGGTGGACATGAGTTCAAGGTTTTGCTTTTCCTATAGCAGTTGAAAACATTAAATGCACTCCCTGAAAGAGAGCTGAAGGGAGGTCTGTGTGATTCTCGGTAGTACCAAGCAATAGGACACGAGAAAACAGGCAGAAATCAATGCACAGGAAGTTCCATTCTTCCTGACTACACAGGAGAACTTCACTGTGCAGGTGACTGAGCACTGGAACAGGTTGTCCTGAGAGGCTGTGGAGTCTCCCTCACCGGAGATGTTCAAGAACCATCTGGACACAACCCTGTGCCACATGATCTAGGGTGACCCTGCCTGAGCAGGGAGCTTGGACCAAATGACCCCACCGTGGTCCCTTCCAGCCTGACCCGTTCTGTGACTGCCAGGGCTAAACCAACACAGAGACGGCAGAGCAAGGTGTGAAAAATATGTATTTCACATATATATTATGCTGTATATATAATATTTTGTACGTACATATACACCCACACACTGTACTGAACAGTTAGCACAAGGGCTTTACAGGCCTCACACGCTCAGCTTCCCTCTGCTTTTGGCATCTGCTTTTCCACCCCAGGGATACCGACCCCTACAGCCACGTTCCCTGGCAGCCGCACCGGGAGGGCAGCGGCGCGCCCCGAAGGAAAGGTCAGTGACACCCGTGAAGGGGCGGCCTCTCCCAGGGCCAGTGTCGCGGCACAGCCGAAGGGCACCGCAGGCTCCGCACCCCGTCCCCTTCCAGCCGCGGGGCCTCCCCCCGCTTCCGCCAGCTCCTCCCGCCGCGGTCTCCTGAGAATAGGGTAGGGTAGGGTAGAGTAGGGAAGGGCAGGGGACATCACCTTCCTTGCCGCTCATCCCGGAGCCGCCGCCGCGCCGCGTCCCCCCGGCAACCCGCAGCCGCCCCGCGCGCCGCCAGGACCCCGCCGCGCCGCCCGCCGCCCCCGCCCTGCCGGCGCCGTGCAGGGGCGCCCCGCGGGTGCCTGACGGCGAAACGCCACACAGGCGGCAGCAGCCCGGCCCGCCGCCCGCGGCGCGGGAGGCGCGGTGCGGAGGTGCGGAGCGGTGGCGGCGCGGAGCGTGGTTCGGACGTTGCTGCCCGCGAAATCGGGGCAGCGCCGAGCCCTGGCCGTGCCTTCGAGAAGGCGACTTCGGGGGCAGCTAGTGTGCGATCACGTCGTGGGGCCTAAGCGCCCGCGGCATGACGGGACATGTAGTGCCGGGCGGGGCGGTGGCGCGGTTGGGGTGGAGCCGCGGAGCTCTGGGTTGCGTGTAGCTGGTGTCCGGCGTGTCCCGCCTCCAGTTCAACCGTGGTCCTCGGCTGGACCCGCAGAAATCTAGTGACATTCCTCAGCCCAGACCCGCACTGTCTAGGCTGTCATGTCGCCTTCCCGTCACCCCCCGACAGACTCCTTACTGCCGCTTTCTTCCCCGGGCATACCAGGACTACGGTGCTTTCAGAGAATCACGGAATCAGTTGGGTTAAAAAAGACCTCTGAGATCATCGAGTCCAACCTATGGGCTGAACTCATGTCAACCAGACCGTGGCACTGAGTGCCACGTCCAGGGAGAGTCAAAACACTTAAGCACTTCCAGGGATGGTGACTCCCCCACTTTCCCAGGAAGCCCATCCCAGTGTCCAATTGTAACATTCGCTCTGTGAAGAAATTCCTCCTCACGTCCAACCTAAACCTTCCCTGGCACAGCTTCAGAGTGTGTCCTCTGCTTACTGCCTGTCCACTCCTGTCTCCTTAATGCCCCTTTCCTGCCCAGCAAGTCAGGATCCAGGTGCTCTCCTTCCAGGCAAGGTGACTGGGAGCCACCCCCAGCGCAGCACCAGGTGCCGCCTTACTTCCCTTAGTGCCCATCCACGTGGTGTGGCAGGGCAAGGAGGCCGGGGAGGATGGCAAGCTGACAGTGAGACAGGGTCTGGAAACTGGAGACACTAACTGGACACCGAAAAGGTCTGATAGTGAAGCCACCTAATACCAGGAAAAGAAATCTGAGAAGCGGTGAATGTAGCGCTGGTACAGAGGAGGCAAATTCCCAAACTCAGGATATTTGCATCCTGGTAAAAATTATGTTTCCTCTACTGGAGACTTGGTGTGAGTGTTCTCAGGACAGGAGTGTTCTCACTGCAGGAATGAGCACGAAGGAGATGGATGCACACTATAAATACTTCCCAGCACAGAGGGCTCTTGATGATGCTTTATTTCTTATGATGATGAGGTACAAAAAGTCTGCTTGCCCACTAGGTTTATACTTCCCTACACATGCATCCTGATGGATTCCTCCGATGTGTTTAAAATAGGGATGGGTCTTGCAAATCCCCAAATCAAAAGGTTTGCAAATCATCAGTCTTGCTCCTCTGCTGATAGATCTTATTTCTTGTCACAGCTGTTGCCTGTTTTAGTAGCTGGATTCCCAAGGAAACAAAGCTCATATGAGCACAAAGGCGGAGTGCTTGCAGCCTTTGTGTGTGGGTGTGCGTGTGTGTCTGTCCTTCCTCCCCACCCTTAATAATTTTTTAATCTGTTGGTCAACTGGTCGATCTGATTTGACAGAGGGAAAGAGCCTTCAGGAGTGATTATAAACATCCTGAGTAAGGAAAAAATTTTGGGTGGAACTTGCACCTTACTAGAAATCAGATAAGCCCAGCTGTGAAATGCAAATGCTTCAGAGTCAAAAGTTAGCAGAGCCCAGCCCGTGGGAGTTCTGGAAGTGCAGGGCCACTAGCCCAGTATCAGGTCTTTTGCATTTAACAAATAAACAGCTTTTGACAAACTTGAATATCAGGTGAATCTGTCAACAGATTCAGGAGGATAGTAACTCACCTCACTCAGATAGCAGAGAAGTAAAACTTTGACAGTGAGCTTTAAAGTCTCCAGGCAGCCAAGCAGGAGTTGCTCAAACCTGGTATTTTCAACTGTTGAGAACATGTGACTGTCATGCAGTGTTCAAAATTATTCAGAAGTGTAACATAAAACCTTTCTCCAATTTCCTAATCTGAGAAAACAGATTTCAATCACACTTGAAAAACAGAGGACAAAGAGAATCCCGGCAGAACTTCCTCAGGCCTGATCTGCATATTGAGTTGTGCAACAGCTTGATTGCTGCCCTACCAGCTGCACAGGAGATTTCTGCTTTCTATGGGGCAAAATCAGGACATGAAATTATTTGTATCGGTGTTATCGCTGCACACATTCAGGCACAGCCTTTTGTTTTAGAAGATGTACAAAACTGCTTTTGGAAACACATACCTTTTTTTTTTTTTTTTTTTCAAACTGCTATTTCCCTGTTCTTGGCAGCTCTTTGGACAAAAAGCAGAGTTGTTTTGGTTATTTCAATGTCGCAGGAGAGTGGAAATAGTGCCTGCTTCTGAATGCTTCCCAGCATTGGAGAATTTTCAGCCAATTGTAAAGAGTGAAGGTCAGGTCTTCAGCTGATTTTTGTTGGACTTAGTGACACTTTGCACGTGCACGGAGATATTCAACTTGTTTGACTTCAACAGGACACTGTTGTGAAAAAGAACTGGTTGGAGTTTTTCTTCTGAAACAATCCACTTAAATGTAGCAGCATTAAACCATTTTGGTAACAGGTTAGTTGCAGAATTTTTCCTTTTCTTCTAGCTGGTATTTAAACCTTTTCCCTTTCCCTTACAGTTTTGTGTTCTTTATGCCTGAAGAGAATGGCATCTGCAACTCCACAAATGTGAAGGAATAGCAACATTTTGAAGGAGGAATTGGTAGGAGAAAGGAGTTGTGAGGATTTAGGTTAGGGCAAAACCCCCAAACAAGCTAACAACAAACCAACAAGGTTTTCTCAGAGACTTAAGGTCACGCTAAGATGTTGTATATGGGTTGCACACGACTGTGCTCTTGAGCCTAAGACAAGGTTGGTAACTCAGCTTTCACATAGGAAAGAAGTGTTTTCCAAGACTCAGGGCTGTGAGGACACTGCACAAGTGCCTAGACCAGACAGGATCTGTGCCTTTCTGAGTGGGGAAAACAACCACTGTAGGGGGTTGAAACTTCTCCATTCATTTTATCCCTGAAGTCTGCCGCTTTGAGCAATGATCTGCTTCAGCAACACTCCTACACA